CATTTTATTGTGTTAAGTTTTCGTAGCAGCATTTATTCAAATCTATTGTATAGTTAAATTCTTATAGTATTTGGATTGTTAGTTCATGGCTGTGTATTTCGTCTATATTTTAATACTATTTTTTTCTTCGTTTGCTACTAAAATCGATTGTTTTGTGTGCATTTTCTTTTTGCCATAATAAATTGACACGTCAAGTTATCAATACGTGTAATGGTGTACCTTTACGAGATGTATGTATGTGTAGATGTGTAGGGTTAGTTGTAATGGTATGACTTTCCTGTTTGCGGTATGTGTGCAATATTAAAATATTTGAAAAATATCAAACAATTTGGAAATTTTATGAAATATTGTTTAACTTTTTTCTGTGGGTGTTTTCTAGTTATTATTGTTGTAGGTGACAGCTTAACTGTAAAACAACAACTACAGCGAAAAATAACGAGTAGGAACGATTTGATGGGCATCTCCGATCAATTGTTGAAAAACGACCATAACCAACTTATTGTTACTTTGTTTATAAGGTTAAACGTCAGAGCCATAAAAACGGCATGTGTTTTTGGTTAAAATTGCAAAAACTGTATAGAGAAAATAGGGCTGTAAATAAAAATGTGCTTTTTGTATTAAATAAAACTTAAGAGTTATTTGCTTTTTGGGATAAATAACTATTGGTAGTTATTGGCCAAAATTTTACAGAAATGTTTGTCAATAAATTTTTGTGAGAGAACTTAAAAGGATTAAGGATAAAAGCTGCAAAAAACACAGTAAAGAGTATAACATTGTAGTGTAAAATTTTTACGAACAAAGTTTTAGCAAATATAAACAATTTTAAACAAGTAAGAGTGTTATATTCGACCATGCCGAATCTTATATACCCACCATCAAATCATCCTTATAAATAAACGTTGATATTATCGATCTATGTTGAATCATATGTCGATATTATTATGAACATCAGGGAAATATTTGGAAGAGGGAAATTAATAAAGGCTTAAGCATGGACCGTGCTCTTCCGAATTAAAAATATTAATTTTGTTTGATCCAATATTTATAACCATAAACTCATACAAAACTTGTTTATGTGAAATTTCATCGCTGTAGTCGCATTTGAGCGTTACAGCCAGTATCGAGCGTTACAGTCACTATCTGAGGGGGACCTTATATGGAGGGTGGGGTCAGTTATAGACCGATCCCCATAAAATGTGATAAATAGTTTTTGGCTAGTACAAAACTTGTTTACGTAGAATTTCACTGCTGTAATAGCATTTTTGAGTCAGTAATCAGCGTTAAAGTAATTTTCCGAAGGGGACCTTATAGGGAGGTATGGTCAATTACAGACTGATCCTCATAAAATTTACTGAGAGATTGTAGCTAATACGAAAATTGTTCATGTCGTACTCAGTACTCGCAGTTTTAAGCTAGTAATGAACTTTAAAGTCATTTTCTGAAGGGGACCTTACAAGGGGGATAGGGCTAATTAAGGACCGATCCTTATAAAATTTGATAAAGAACTTTTGGCTCACACAAAACTAGTTTGTGACTTAAAGTCATTTTCTGAAGGAGACCTTATATGGGGGTAGGGTCAATTATGGACCCACCCTCATAAAATTTAATAAAATGATTTTAGTTCCTATAAAAATTTTTGATGTCAAATTTTATTGCTATATATATGCACATATGTTTCTTCAGGTCAGATATGAGCATTAAAGTAATTTTCTGAAGGGGACCTTGTATTGGGGGTAGGGTCAATTATGAACCGATCCTTATAAAATTTTACGAAGAGATTTAAATTCTTATAAAACATGTTTGTGCCGAATTTCATCGCTATTGAAGCTTTTCTTAGCCAGTTATGGTCGATAAAGTCATTTTCTGAAGGGGACTTTATATGGGGGGTAGGGTCAATTATGGGCCTATCCTTATAAAATTTTACAAAGAGATTTATGTTCCCATAGAACATGTTTGTGCCGAATTTCACCGCTATTGATGCTTATCTTAGCCAGTTATGGGCGATAAAGTCATTTCTGAAGGCGACTTTATATGGGGGGTAGGGTCAATTATGGGCCTATCCTTATAAAATTCCACGGAAAGATTTATGTTCCTATAAAACATGTTTGTGCCGAATTTCACCGCTATTGATGCTTCTCTTAGCCAGTTATGGGCGATAAAGTCATTTTCTGAAGGGGACTTTATATGGGGGGTAGGGTCAATTATGAGCCTATCCTTATAAAATTTTAGAAAGAGATTTAGGTTCCCATGAAACATGTTTGTGCCGAATTTCACCGCTATTTGTTCTTCCCTTAGCAAGTTATGAGCGATAAAGTCATTTTTGGAGGGGACTTTATGTGGGGGGTAGGGTCAATTATGGACCGATCCTTATAAAATTTAAAAAAAAGATTTATGTTCCCATAAAACATGTTTGTGCCGAATTTCACCGCTATTGATGCTTCTCTTAGCCAGTTATGGGCGATAAAGTCATTTTCTGAAGGGGACTTTATATGGGGGGTAGGGTCAATTATGAGCTTATCCTTATAAAATATTAAAAAGAGATTTAGGTTCCCATAAAACATGTTTGTGCCGAATTTCACCGCTATTGATGCTTTTCTTAGGCAGATATGGGCGATAAAGTCATTTTCTGTAGGGGACTTTATATGAGGGGTAGGGTCAATTATGGACCGATCCTCATAAAATTCTACGAAGAGATTTAGGTTCCTATAAGACATATTTGTGCCAAATTTCAGCGCTATTGGTTCTTCCCTTAGCAAGTTATGAGCGATAAAGTCATTTTCTGAAGGGGGCCTTATATGGGGGCTAGGCGAAATTGTGGACCGATATTGCCCATTTTCAATACCAAACAAACTGCATCAACTAGAAGTATCTCTGCCAAATTTCAGCTCGCTAGCTGCTTCCATTTGGACTCTATCGTGTTTTCAACAGACAGACAGACAGACAGACAGACAGACAGACGGACAGACGGACAGACGGACGGACATGGCTAGATCGTCTTAGAATCTTATAAGGACCCAGAATATATATACTTTTATGGGTCTTAGACGAATATTTCAATGTGTTACAAACGGAATGACAAAAACAATATACCCCCCATCTTTTTTGATGGTGGGTATAAAAATTAAATATATATTTTTGAGAACAGACTTGATAAGCTTTCGAAAGCTTACTGAATACTTATAACATAAACTTGAGAAAAGGTATCAAATACAATAAAAGCTCAAGTGCCTTTCGAAAATTTTACATAAAACATAAACTTGAAAAAAGTCTAAAGCACAAGGAAAGCTTAACCAACTTTCTATAGCTTTTGGTTACAGAGCTTTTTAATGAACTTAAAATTGTATTCAAAATTATACCTAACTTTTAAAGCTCTCTGAATGCCTGAGAAGTTAAAACTTAAGTATTCCAGATAAAATAGAAGCTTTGTAAAACGCTCAAACATTAAAAAAACATTTCAGATAAATGCTGATTTAGTTTGTAGAGCTTTTAAAAGCTCTATGACTGCTTTGAAAGTTACAAATTCAACAAATTAACATAAAATGCATACTTTTTGAAAAGCTTTTGGATTTCCACAGCAAAGTTTTCTTTTTATGATCAACTTTTGAAAGCTCTTTGAATACCTGAAAAGTTTAAACTTAAGTATCTCACATAAAATAGAAGCTTTGAGAAACACATTTCAGATAAATGCTCATAGATTTAGTTTGTTGAACTTTTAAAAGCTCTATGACTACTTTGGATGTTACAAATTCGATAAATTAACATAAAATTTTAACTTTTGAAAATCTTTTGAGTTACTCTTGTGCGATTCGATCTTTATTTGTACACTTTTCTTTTCCACAACAAAGTTTTTTCTTTATGATCAGCTTTTGAAAGCTCAGTGAATGCCTGAGAAGTAAAAATTTCAGTATTTGATGCAAAGTAAAAGCTTTGAAAAATGCTCAGACATTAAAAAACAATTCAGATAAACGGTCATAGAATTTGCTTGTAGAGCTTTTAAAAGCTTTATGACTACTTAGGAAGTTATAAATTCGATAAATTGACATAAAATGGAAACTTTTTGAAAAGCTTTTAAGTAACTCTAGTGCAATCTGAACTTTATTTTTACACTTTTATTTTCCACAGCAAAGTTTTCTTTTTATGATCAGCTTTTGAAAGCTCTCCGAATGCCTGAGAAGTTTAAACTTAAGTATTCCACATAAAATAGAAGCTTTGAGAAACACATTTCAGATAAATGAACATAAATTAAGCTTGTAGAGCTTTTAAAACCTCTCAGATTATTTTGGAAGTTACAAATTCGATAAGTTAACATAAAATGGTAACTTTTGAAAAGCTTTTGAGTTACTCTTGTACGATTCGAACTTTGTTTTTACACTTTTCTTTTCCACAACAAAGTTTTTTCTTTATGATCAGCTTTTGAAAGCTCAGTAAATGCCTGAGAAGTACAAATTTTAGTATTTCACGCAAAGTAAAAACTTTGAAAAACTCTCAGACATTAAAAAACAATTCAGATAAATAGCTTGTCCAGCTTTTAAAAGCTCTATGACTGCTTTAGAAGTTATAAATTCGATAAATTAACATAAAATGGAAACTTTTTGAAAAGCTTTTAAGTTACTCTAGTGCAGTCTGAACTTTACTTTTATACTTTTCTTTTTCACAGAAAAGTTTTCTCTTTATGATTAAAGTTTTATAAAACTCTCTTAAAACTTTATAAAGCGCTTTAAATTAAAGCTCAAATTATAAAAGCTTAAAAGCATTTTGTTACTTCGAAAAAAAGATTTTTATAGGTCAACGTTATACCCCCTTAGTCCTAATATTTAAATAATAAAACTCTTTACTAACAACAGGCCAATAATTAGTTTATTAAAGTTGTTAGTTAGTTAAACTTTTTTTATAACCTCAACCGCCTTACATACATATTTAATTATAATTACTTACAACAACAAAACAATTTCAATTAATTTAAATTTTTCTCTTCTTTTTTTTTACTTTTATGAACACAGTATGGCGAACTATCGTTGACAACAAATCCCGCCTTTAGTCTCTATAATACACCACAACGAGCTCCTGCTACTCAAAGACCTGTTTATACAGCCCCACCACCCCTACTATCGACACGAACGCCACCAAATATTTACACACGCATACCCGGACGCACCTATTTACCAGCTTATGAGACACGCACATCACCCACCTCTCCCTACGGCTCAACGACAACCTGCACCATGCCACTCTTGGGAGGACAATCGAATGGCTCATTACAAACAAACAGTAGTACAGGTACTGGCATGATTGGCAGTATGTCTGGTGTGGGGGGAGTTGGAGGGAATAGTATTGGCAGTAGTGGTAGTGGAGGTGGTGGCGGTACACTAAGTTTAACCAGCGGCAATTCAATGGGCCACTGCAATACATTGCCACATCCTAATACACAACATCAACATCAAAATCCAATATCAACAGCGTTGACCTCATCGCTAACATCGGGGAATATAACGATTGGTGCTGCACAATCCCTGCTCACGTCACCGCGTACTCATTCGGCGTATAGTAATTCAACGACAACAACAATACAATCACCACTTCTAGCCACTAGCACTCTATTGGGAAATGGAAATTATGAAACGATATCTTCCTGAGAATTACCTAAAGATGACATTAAATGTCAGATTGTATGTATTGGTGGGAGTAGTACGTGTACGACAACAACGTCCTCGGCGGAACGTACAACAATTGTTTAGAGTGTAGATATGAATACAAAATAACAAACAAACAAACAACCAGAAAATAATATAACAAAATTATATTTTTAAGGATTTTTTTTTATAGGTTTTTTGTTAATTTTTTCTGTATTATAAACTATGTAAGGGAATAATTATTATTTCTATTATTAACTTTTGTATTAGTTGTTGTAGAAAACTGACAAAATAAATTATTTTTTCTGTAGATTTTAAATGCGAAACGAAACATTAAAGTGTAACAGTTTTAAACAAACTAAGGCCTCTAGGGATGAGGAAATGTAAAACGAACAAAAAACTTTGGACTTTTTTAAAACAAGTCGCCATGGAGTTAATTTTGTTAATGTCATGATAATAAAGCCTTTTAAAAGTTTTTTTTTTTTTAATTAATTTTAAATTTAGCTATTAGTCCCAACGATTCTATTTAATAAGATAGATAAAAGGAAATTTTAAGGTCCGTCTATTTGTAATTTGTCAAACAATCTCTGTATCTAAGGTCTTTCCTTATGGAAATTACTACAAATCGATCGATGTTTATTTCCCTTTCGTCATATTTTAAACAGTCAAGTACAGTCCTAGGTGCTCCGTTTTGACATGTTCACACCATTATTGCTAAAAAAAGCTTTTAATGGAGCAAGAGTTACATATGGGCATAAACGCATAAAGCTTTTATAAAGAATTTAAACGTGATCGTGTTGATAAGTGAATCATGGACGTTTAAGTCTTGAAGGGTACTCCGTAAAGAGCCTAGGACCAGTAAAGTCCTAGCAGCAAGAAAATTGGCAATATGATTATGAAGTTTATGTTAGTTAGTTCTGCCGATTTAAATGGCTATATGGTCATAATATGGTGTCCAGTTGTAAGGAGGCTAAGTGAAAAACGGGAGCATTTTATCCATTTTCCATAGACTTAGTTTTTAAACCGAACTTTGGAAAATTTCGACCTGTATCTTAAGCTCAAGATTGACAGATGAAAAGACAGACAGAAGGGTGTCCAGTTGTAAGGAGACCAAATCAAAAAATGTATAATTCTAACCATTTTCATGCCAAATTTCATCAAATGATCTTTAAAATTTCGATCTAGATCTCGAGCACAAGATTTACTTTGACATTCAGATGGACGGACAAGTGGACGGACAGACAGGCTGAAGGGTGTCCAGTTGTAAGGAGGCTAAATGAAAAACCATTTAAAAAGTTTCCAATAGTCTTAGTTCTTAGGCAAAATTTAGCCAAATTCCATTAAATTATCTTGAACATTTCGATCTGTATCTCGAGCACAAGATTTACTTTGATACATAAACGGACAGACAAACTGAAGGCTGTCCAGTTGTAAGGAGGTTAAGTGAAAAAATGTGCAATTTTAATCATTTTCAATTGTTTCAGTTCTTAGACCAAATTTTGCCAAATTTCATAAAATTATCTTGAAAATTTCGAACTGTATGAAGAGCACAAGGTTTACTTTGACACACAGACGGACAGACAGACAGAAGAGTGTCCAGTTGTAAGTAGTCTAGAAAAAAGAAAAACGGAAGAGTATCCAGTTGTAAGGAGGCTAAGTGAGAATTAGGCCGAATTTAATTTAGTTAAATTATCTTGAAAATTACGAACTATGTATATCTTGAGAACAAGTTTTTGACACACAAAGAGAGACAAAGAGAGACAGACAGACAGACAGACAGACAGACAGACAGACAGACGGACAGACAGACAGACAGACAGACAGACAGACAGACAGACAGACAGACAGACAGACGGACAGACAGACAGACAGACAGACAGACAGACAGAGAGACAGACAGACAGACAGACAGACAGACAGACAGACGGACAAACAGACAGATAGACAGACAGACAGACAGACAGACAGGCAGACATATAAAGACTCAGAAAGCTTTAGTTAAAGTTTTCTATTCAATACCCCTGATATGCGGTTGTGCTATCAAGGCTTTATCTTCAAGTTCTTAGGTTAACAATGATAACAAATTATTGTTTCAAATTTCTGGAAATCGCCAAACTTAGACTCCATTTGTTATTTAGATTTTTAAATAACATTTTCCTTAACTTCCAAGGCCTTAGCTTTGTTCAAATTTGTTTCTTTATTCTCTACTAAACTTTATGTTACTTGCAGTTTTATTATTTTAAATACCAACTTTACAACCCAAACGAACAAATTTTGAAATAAAGACTTCCAATAGAAACCAAAAAATTAAAAACAAAAAGTTAAAATATATAAAAATTTAGAAAATGTAATAGAAATTAAAGAAAAAACTGAAAATTTTAAGAAAAACAAAACAATAGCATTTAAATAAACTAATAATTAAAGAAAGGTAATCACAGTTTTATTTATAGAATAAACTACTAATAAATGTAAACCCAAAAGTATGCTACTCTTTTAAAGTATTTAGCTTAAAGTTGAGTTTAAATAAAACTGTGAATAGCCTTAAACATAAATAAGAGCTTTTGCTATTACTTGGCAAAATATAGTAAAATTTTTTTTAAGAAAAACTTAAACATAAATAATGTAAATAATTTAAATGTAAATATTTTAAAAAAAAGAAGAAAAAACTTAAACTAAATTATAAATAAAAAAAAAAGAAATTTAGTTAGACACAATAATTATTAAAAGAAAATAAAACACGAAAAGACTATATTAAAAAAATAAAATTAATAATTTAATAAATAAAAAAAATCTACTAAATTTAAAAAAAATACTAGAAACTATTAAAACAACAACTATTAAGGCACTTAAATTTATATAAAAAAAGCTATAATTATAAAAATTAAAAAAAAAAACTGTGTATACCTAATAATATTAGACCAAAATGTATAAAAATATATTAAAATAATATTTTTCCAAATTTTATTTTATTAAAACTTTTTTTCTTAAAAAGCACAACATTATTGTTTTAATTTTAATTAAAAAAAACTAACATAAATTTTAAAAGCTATAAAACAATAAAAAATTCTATAATTAAATTTATTTTGTATATAAATTTAAATTTCTTTTTAAGCTTTAATAATAATTTTCAAATAAAAATTTTAGTTTTTTTTTTTCTTAAAAAACAACTATTTACTTATTAATTTCAACTATTATGTTTTTTAACTTTAGTATTATAAAAAAAATAAATTTTTAAATATTCTCTTTATAAATATATATTTTTTTAATAACAATAATCTTAACAAACAAAAAAAAAAAAAAACAACAAACAAATGTTTATTATACATATGTAAATGCATTTATTTTTTAGCTACCAAAATAACAACAACAATAACAACAAAAAAGTATATGTTTAATGTATTTATATTTTTCTCTTTTTTTTACTTAAATGTATAAAAATTTTAGTGAAAAAAAAAACTGAAATATATAAAAAAAAATTTAGTTATAAAAAATTTAAATATAGTTGATATAAGTTCTATATATATATATATATAAAATAATGATATGAAAACAAAAACAATAAAAAAAAGCAAGAAAAATAATAAAAAACTGAAAATATAATGAACAAATTTAACAAAAAAAAAATTTTTTAAGTGGTTTTTATTTTAAAATCAGTTAACACAAAAGTTATTATTTCATTTATTATGGTTATTTGTTTGTTTTTTTTCGGGAAGCGCATTTGTTAATAAATTAGTTTTCAGCGATAATCAGAAATAATATATAAAAGTTAAAAAAAAAAATAATATTAAAACAAATATAAATTAAAATGGCTATAAAAAGTGAGTCAGTGCTCCATTTTATTACCTTGTTAAATATGAACAAATATTAACACCATGGTTTCCATCGTTTCTCTTTAAACAAACGTGTAAAACAACTTACTCGGCTCTGATGTTGCTAAAGCCGCAGAAATAAACTTAGACCGTTATTGTCCTTTTATGGAAAAATTTCGTGAGAAAAACCTGAAATAGTGGTCCACAGTGGCACTGCTAAACTGCCAGTTCGATCAGGAAAATGTGTAAAACAGGTCTAGCTAAAGAGAGATCCAGTTTAAGTTTTTGGAAATTTATCCTAGTCTAGACAGTTTTAATTCCAAAACATTCTATTTAAACACACTTTGCGTAGTTCAGAAACTAGACTACAGAGTTGACTAATGATTATACTAGACTATAGACTAGATTATAGACTAGACTATAGAATAGAATAGACTATAGACTAGATTATGAACTAGACTATATACTAGACTATAAACTAGACTATAGGCTAGACTAAAGACTAGACTGTAGACTAGAATACGCACTAGACTATATACTAGACTAGACTATAGACTAGACTATAGGACTAGACTATAGACTAGACTATAGACAAGACTATAGACTAGACTATAGACTAGACTATAGACTAGACTATAGACTAGACTATAGACTAGACTATAGACTAGACTATAGACTAGACTATAGACTAGACTATAGACTAGACTATAGACTAGACTACAGACTAGACTATAGACTAGACTAAAGACTAGACTATAGACTAGACTATAGACTAGACCTATAGACTAGACTATAGACTAGACTATAGACTAGACTATAGACTAGACTATAGACTAGACTATAGACCTAGACTATAGACTAGACTATAGACTAGACTATAGACTAGACATAGACTAGACTATAGACTAGACTATAGACTAGACTATAGACTAGACTATAGACTAGACTATAGACTAGACTATAGACTAGACTATAGACTAGACTATAGACTAGACTATAGACTAGACTATAGACTAGACTATAGACTAGACTATAGACTAGACTATAGACTAGACTATAGACTAGACTATAGACTAGACTACTAGCTATAGACTAGACTATAGACTAGACTATAGACTAGACTATAGACTAGACTATAGACTAGACTATAGACTAGACTATAGACTAGACTATAGACTAGACTATAGACTAGACTATAGACTAGACTATAGACTAGACTATAGACTAGACTATAGACTAGACTATAGACTAGACTATAGACTAGACTAGACTAACATAGACTAGACTATAGACTAGACTATAGACTAGACTATAGACTACTATAGACTATACTATAGACTAGACTATAGACTAGACTATAGACTAGACTATAGACTAGACTATAGACTAGACTATAGACTAGACTATAGACTAGACTATAGACTAGACTATAGACTAGACTAGACTATAGACTAGACTATAGACTAGACTATAGACTAGACTATAGACTAACTATAGACTAGACTATAGACTACTAGACTATAACTATAGACTATAGACTATAGACTATAGACTATAGACTAGACTATAGACTATAGACTATAGACTATAGACTATACTAGACTAGACTAGACTATAGACTAGACATAGACTAGACTATAGACTAGACTATAGACTAGACTATAGACTAGACTATAGACTAGACTAGACTAGACTAGACATAGACTAGACTATAGACTAGACTATGACTAGACTATAGACTAGACTATAGACTAGACTATAGACTAGACTATAGACTAGACTATAGACTAGACTAGACTAGACTATAGACTAGACTATAGACTAGACTATATATTAACTAGACTAGACTAGACTAGACATATTAGACTATAGACTATAGACTATAGACTAGACTATAGACTAGACTAGACTAGACTATAGACTAGACTATAGACTAGACTATAGACTAGACTATAGACTAGACTATAGACTAGACTATAGACTAGACTATAGACTAGACTATAGACTAGACTATAGACTAGATACTATAGACTAGACTAGACTAGACTAGACTATAGACTAGACTATAGACTATACTATAGACTAGACTATAGACTGACTATAGACTAGACTATAGACTAGACTAGACTAGACTATAGACTAGACTATAGACTAACTATAGACTAGACTATAGACTAGACTATAGACTAGACTATAGACTAGACTATAGACTAGACTATGACTAGACTATAGACTAGACTATAGACTAGACTATAGACTAGACTATAGACTAGACTATAGACTAGACTATAGACTAGACTATAGACTAGACTATAGACTAGACTATAGACTAGACTATAGACTAGACTATAGACTAGACTATAGACTAAACTATAGACTAAACTATAGACTAGACTGTATAAAAATCGATTATTGACCTATTAGACCACGTGTTATTTCCAAAATATTTGTCCTTAATAAATTTTATAAAAATCGATAAATTAAACTTATATTTTTACCTCTATGTTACGATTTTCCCTTTCCGCTCATAAATTTGCATAACAAATATCAAGTTCTCAGAATGTCAACCTTTTGCTATACAAACCTCACAATCTCACACACACACACGCATTTACCTTTGTATTCGTTTTGACAAATAACTTGAAATTTTATAAAATCTATAAAATGTTTTGTTCTTTTTTACTTATTTTTGCATAAAAGAAAAAAAAATGGGTTAAAATACTTAGTCCAGTTAACAAATTGTTATTGTGTTTTTCACAAATACTTAACACTTCATTCCTACTTAGAATGAAAATGTATTAAACAATATAAAGTAATATTTTGTATACGTAAGACACAACAAAAAACCCTTTATTGTCAACACCTTTAACAAAATATGTATGTATATGTTTGTTACCCTTTTTTATAACTTTTTTACATATGTTACAAACATACTTATGCTATACCTATACATAGATTTAACAATAGGGGGTTACTTCTTGAAAAATGAAAATAATAAA